GTGGTAGGCCGTTGCCGTGAATGTCTTAGCGGCTCCCCGGGTTAGCGCCCGTTTTCCGTTCCCGCCGCTTCCCTGTGGCGCCGGCGGCGCTTGGGGCTCTCCCGAGCCCGGATCCCGCTCGGATGATCCCGGGCGGATGCGCCGCGCACCGGGGATGACCCCCTTCCGCTTCCCTGCTGCGCTCCGGCCTCATCCGGAGCCGCCGCAGCGACAATAGCGGCTTTCCGGCCGCGTCGCCTCATCCCGACGCCCGTCGGGAGCGCAGCCTCTCTCCCATTGGGAATAACGGGAGCTTCCCTGGCACCAACCCGTCTTTCCCAGTCTTTTTGGCCTTGCAGTCGCCTATGGGACCTCTTGGAAGCGCTGCCTGAGGTTTCTCCACCGTGGGGCTCTTCCCAGGTCAAATTCCAGCTCGTTTAACCGTTTTCCTAGCAGGAAGCTCCGGATCCGGCGCCTGCCCGGCGTCGCCTGACGCCGTCTGCCTTTTCCCCCACGCTCGCAGGGTTCTGATCCGTAATGTGGATTCACAGCCCTCCAGAAGGCCCTTTCCATGCGGGAAGGAGCGGAGGCGCCGGCCGGAACAGCGCGGGTCCGAATCCGCCGGGATAGGCTCATCCCGGGCGTTTTCCCGGGTGTCTTTGCAGAGAGGTGGGAACGGTTGAGTTTTCACCCCTCACCTTGGCAGCCTCTAATTACGGAGCTGCTGGAAAACCAGCCTGGTAATTAAAACATCCCTCTTCCGGGGCGTCTAAGTCATCAGGAGGATTTAATGAGGGTTTAACTGCGCTCCGACGGCCGCTCCCAGCGGAATATGTGCGGGAAGGCTCTCCCAGATGCTTGAGCCGAGTGTTTTTTTCCATAAACGGGATTTTTTTGCGTATATTTTGGGTTTTTCCTCCCATGTTTTGCACTGTCTCTGTGGCAAGGCTCGCGCTTGTGACCGTGCGTGGCAGATTCCGCCTTTGCGCCGATAAAATCCGCGTTAGCGTCTCGCTTTTCCCATTGATTCCTGTGGACACAACAGAAGCCTTGGGGGGCGAAATAACGACGGATCCGGATTAGAGCCGGGATTCGGCGCCGCGAGGGATTAATCGCTCCGAAACGGAGCCCGTGGAGGGCAGGGCCGAGCGCTTATCTCGGCGCGCAGGGCCCGGGGCGGCCGCTCAATACGGCTGCTTTTAGGCACCAATATCCGTTTGTGTCCGAATTCCCCCGTAGAGGCCGACGTGCCCTTCCCGCTGGGAAAAGAGCCGCGTTCGGCCGCGACGGCGTCCGGAGAAGAAGCCGATTGCGGCTCCGGGTCGTGTGTGGAGCTACTATGTGTATTTATTGTTGTATTTTTATTATTTGTTGTACAAAACGCGATGGAAAGGGGAAAAGCTGCCAATGGAGAGCCTGGAAGACGCGTCCTCCCGTCACGACGGTCGCGGCAACGGAAAGGGAATGGGAATGGGAAAGCGTGTTGGATTCCACGTGCTCCAGAGCGACTCGTTCCTCTCTTTTTTAATGGAGAAAAGCCCCAAAGGGAACCTAAACCCCGCATGGAAGCGACGTGGAAACGTGCTCCAAGCGGGTCCCGTCCTTGTGCCGGCGCAAACGCGCTCGACGCTCCGGGATCCGTCTCTCCGGCGGGATGACAACGGAGCCTTTGTGGCCGCTGTCCCTGGAGCGGCACCGGCCTCAATGGCGCATTATGAAGCGCGGCCGGATCGGGGCCTGCGGAGCCTCCGGATGCGGGAGAAACGCGGCCGAACGCGCCGGGAGCCGCGAGGGATGTCGGGAATGCGACCGGTGTCGGGAATGCGGCTCCGCGCGGGGTCCGGATCTGCGACGGCCGAGCCTTTCCGAGGGAAAAATCCCGGGATAGCGACAAGCACGACCTGTTCCCGTGCCGTTCGGCCGCTCGCGGCAAATGCTTCCCGGCTTTTCCCGAGGGAATGGGCCATGCTCGGAGCTGGGATCTGCCCTGCAAACCGCAGCCTTGACTCCGCATCCGAAGGGTTTTACAGCCGGAGCGGCCCTGGGATTTAATTGCCGGGCGTTGCTGCGTTAGCAGCTGCTTGGAAATGCAGCAAGAAACGAGGAAATAGGGAAAACGGAGAGCGCTTCCGGGAGAGCTCCCGCTCCCGTATCCCTGGGGATGTCTTTTCCATGTGCCAGCCCGAAATCCCGGCGCCCGCAGCGGGCACGGAGGAGGCTCCGTGCGCACCGCCCATGTTGGGAATAGCGGAGATCCCGGGAAGCGCTGACTATTCCTTCCCGGGAAGGGCCGTCCGTCCTTTCGCTCCGTCTTGGCAAACAGGAGAGGGTTTCCAGGCGCCGGGCGCAAACACGGATAGAGGAGCCGTGAGTAACCGGATCGATGGGGCAGATCCCGCGGCGCTGTTGACATTCCCGATATCCCTTTGTGTCCCCCTTCGCCGCTGGCGTCACTCCTGCCCCGCCGATGGGACAATCCCTATTGTGCCGATTGGGAAATCGCTCCCGTGACGTCCCGCTCCTCTTCCTCCCCGCGGAGAGGGGGGTTATCCGCCCGCAAGGAGAACGGGGTGGGAAAAGCGGAGCCAAAAGCTCTCAGGAATGCTCGGACACGCCGGAATAACGTGGCGCCGGTGGGAGTTATCCCTGCTCTTTGCAGCCCCGTTTCCTCTCATCCGAGGCTCCGTTTTGGTGACACCCGCCCGGAATGTCGGCAAAGCCTCCGGCATCCTGGACTTTTTTTCCCCGTGTTTGTTTAAAGGGGCAGGAGCGGCCGCCGCGCTCCTCGCTGCGTCACAAGGAAGCCGGAGCCGCGGCGTTCCCAGCGCCGCGTTCCCGGCGTTCCCAGCGCCGTGCATGGCTCCGGCCTCCCCCGCTCTGGATAAGGCCGCTCCGGATAAGGTGTTTTCTCGCCTCCGGATGCTCAAGGACAAAGCGGAGGAGCGAGCGGAGCCGGGGCCGTCGGCGAGCCCGGATAACAGCTCCGTGCTCCGATTTATCCCATAGGAGCAGCCAGGGTTGTGCCGATGGAGGGACCTTGTCCGCTCCTTGCCGTCCCGGAGAGCGGCATTCCCGCTGTGCCATAAGGTCCGGGGAGGGATCGTCTCCCCTCCGGCGGCGGATGCGGATCCGGTTTTCCCAGCGCGTTGGCCGGCAGCTCCGGTATCGGCGCGGGCTTCCCGGCGTGTTTAATCCCGCCAATGATCCCGTGTTTTCTCTCGATTCCTTGCAGGGATTTCCTCCCCCGGGGCTCGGGAATCGTCACGCGGCGGCCGCTCATCCTGCAGCTCATCTTCTCCAAGACAGGTACGATCCGGCGCTCCGGAGCCGCTCCGAGTCCCGCTGCGGATGCTCCCAGGCATCAGAGGCTCTTGCGGATCCATCATGGAGCCAATATTTAGGTTAAAAATCATGGCACTTTTAAAAAAATCCCTTAAATCAGCCCCTTTTTAGCCCCGTTGCAGCACACGGGGCACCCACGAAGCCGCAGACGGGGGAAGATCCGGAGCCCTCGCGCGTTTCGGGCCTCTCTTCTATTCCCATCCACTGGAATCTCTTCCCAAGCTGCGATTCCGCTGCCGGCAAATCGCTCTTTGCCCTGTTCATCCCCCTCAGCGCTGCCGAGAAGCCCGGAATTCCTGAGGATAAACCACAAGGCGCCTTCCCACCAAGCGGAACGTCGGGAAGCCGCTGGCCGGGGGCTCCCGTTGCCCTTCTCCGTAGGGAATACGTGGGATTACCCTCTTGCTCAGAGGTGCCTTCTTGGATAAATCCTTGCTCCGCCGTCCGGAACTGCAGCCGCTCGCTCTTTGCGCCCTTTTTTTGCATTTATTAAAGGAATTTTTATTGCTGCTGCACTAAGATCGGGAGTCAAGAGGTTCTGGAAGTGGCAGGAGCGGAAAGGTGACATTGGCTTTCCCCCTTGTCCCACCCCGCATCCGTGGTGCCGGAGGAAGGAAGCAGGAAGCGCCATCCGTGCGGAACGTCTCCTCCCCGAGGCCGGCAGCGGCTGCAGATTCCTTAAAACCCTTCCCAAGGGATTCGGAGCTGTTCCCGAAGCCAGGGAGCCTCTCTCCGGCCATGCTGCATGTCCCGCGCTGCTCCATGGAGTTTTCCAAGTCCTTGCAAAGCTTCTCTTGAACTAGGGGCTCATGAGACCCCTTTGGAAATATCTCCCATGGAATTTTCTTCCCTAACGGCACCGTGGTCCTTCCCACTGGGTTCGTTTCCCATCCGTGGGTCTGAAGATCCAGTGCTCCGGGCCGGAGCCGCCGCCACCTCCAGGCAGCAGGTTGGAAGATGAGGTGCCAAATCCTGGGATCTGTGACCTCCTTTGGAGCGAAACCCTTTCCCTTGGCTCCGAAACGGGTCGGAGCCCGGATCGGGAATTGCGATCCTTCCCCAGCTCGCTCAAGGGGGATAATGCAAGGACAAGGGCCCGCGTTCCCAGCACCGTCTCCGAGAGCCGGCCGGAGCCCTGCCGCCTTCCCGGCGCTCCGCAGTGGAAGACTTGGATCTTTCCTTGGCAGCGGGAGCATCGGAGAGATCCCAAAGGAATCGGCGGGTGCCAAGAAGACACCCGAGCCCGGGTGCCGACGGACACGGCCGCTCCGCTGCGGGAATTGCATAAAACGGGCAAATCCGGGCGTGTGTCTCCCTGGGCCGGGCTTGAGGTAGGAGCCGGATTCCCCGTTCCCGTTTTCACACGCGCGGGGTTTTTTTTTTTTGCAGAATACGCCGAATTCTTGCACTGCAAATCCAAGAAGTTCACGGATTTCGATGAGGTGCGGCAGGAGATCGAGGCGGAGACGGACAGAGTCACCGGCACCAACAAGGGCATCTCCCCGGTGCCCATCAACCTCCGGGTGTACTCGCCGCACGGTGAGCGAGCCGCGGCTCCCCGCGCCCTCGGGATGAGCTTGGCACGAGGGAAAAGGCGGATTTTTCCGTGGGTTTGTCCCTGATCCGCAAACGGGGCCGTTAACCCCATCCTGGGGATACACGGAGCAAAATTCCTAAGAGCTGGAGCTCCAAAGCCCTGTCCCTTTTGCAGTGTTGAACCTGACGCTCATCGACCTGCCGGGGATCACCAAGGTGCCCGTCGGGGACCAACCGCAGGACATCGAGTACCAGATCAAGGAGATGATCCTGCAGTTCATCAGCAGGGAGAGCAGCCTGATCCTGGCCGTGACGCCGGCCAACATGGACCTGGCCAACTCGGACGCCCTCAAGATGGCAAAAGAAGTCGATCCTCAAGGTAAGGACGCGTCCTGCCCGGTGGGGACGCGGTGGCTTGCGGATTGGTGGCCTAAAGAGCCACAAAAGTCTTAGCCGCTGTGGCAGGGGGGGAAGGGAAAACACCAGCACCCGTTTTGGGGGGTA